ATCCGTCCGCTTGCCCTTCCTTCCTTCCTTCCTTCCTTCCTTCCTTCCTTCCATCCATCCATCCATCCATCCATCCATCCATCCAAGCAAGCATCCAAGCAAGCATCCAAGCACCCATCGGCCCAGCCACTCATCCGTCCGCTTGCCCTTCCTTCCTTCCTTCCTTCCTTCCTTCCTTCCTTCCTTCCTTCCTTCCTTCCAGAGCAAAATCTGTGATGCAACTGCTGAGGTTACTTCTCACGGTGTCCCTTATCTAACCTAGCTTTGTTTCAGTCAACACTTTCAGTGTCATAGGATTAGAGCTCCAGATAGCAAATTTCCAAATAGTGTGGCTAAGGACTGGCTGGGGATTTTAGGACTTGGAGTCCCAACACATCTGGGGGTGCAATAGATTGGAGAAGGCTGCTTTAGTGACAGCCGTTTTCTGAGATTTAAGTAGGGATGAGTGATACAGTTTCAATTCAGCCTGTACCAATTTCAGGTTTGTGCACAGGGGCATCTGTGTGTGTGTCAAAAAAGTGAAGGTGGCAGCTGTGACTGTGCAGTCAGAATCCTTTTTTAATGATAATGCAATGCATATAAAAAAGGTGAGGGCAGGGCTTTGATTACTTAGTCAAGGCTGCCATCTTCACTTTTTTGACTCATCCACAAATGCCCATTTGTACATTCATGTCTGTTCCATCCCTTCTCTGGACTAATCTGCATTTTATATGATTGTGTTATTATTGTTGTATTTTATTTTATGTACTGCTTTTTATATTATTGTATTATTGTTGTATTTTACTATATAGACTGTAAATTGTCTAGAATCCAACTGGTTGGAGATGGCGTATACATTTCATACATAAATAAAGAATATGTTTTTAAAAAACTGCACAAGCCCTTTTTGAACATGTAGCGTTGAAAACCCATTTCTAAATTTTATCTCAAATGAACCATTTACCCATTAATTTTATCTCCAAAACAGGTTTAAGTTAAAGTTTAGTGTAGTGTAGAATAAGAGTCTCCAAAGTTTTCTGATTGTGTATCCTTATTAGTTAAAAAAATTGAACATGCATTCCCTTTATTTATTTATAAATTATATATATATGTACTGATGTACTAATACATAATGCACATTATAAAACATATTGCTCCCAAAGCAAAGATAACGGTGAAATAAGCAATATTCTAATATTTTCTTCCTGCACTCTAACGGATCATCTCATGCCCCTGTTGGAGTGCACGAACCCCACTCTGGAAAACACTGTTGTAGAAGAATGTCACATCCAAAAACTAGTTACATTCCAATATGCCCATCACAATTTGCAAAGGCTTTTTTTTTTTAGTCCTAGAGATGTAGCTTACAGTGATAACAATAGTGACAATAATAACCTGTATTATTCTTTTAGTTTGTGTTTTGTGCTGGGTCCTCCTCTTACTTTTAAACAGTTGGTTAATTGTTTCATTCCACACTGGTCTTTGATCAAGATAAAGTTTGACATGACTTGGGATTTGCAAAGACTGAAATCTTCTAGCATCCTTTTATTTTTATTTTTATTTTAAGAGAGACCTTTTCTGACTGAGGAGATGACAAGGGCTCAGCATGAGGCCTCATGAATCCAAAGTATGAGTTGTGCCGTGAGGCCATGATCAAAAATGCAGAAGAAACTATCTTGGGATAGGTCCAAGTTGTGTATCAAAACATGTGTCAAAGATGAGCAGCAGAAGAGAGCCATCTCCTCTTCCTTGCAAAAATTTTTAGAAAGTGTCACAAGAATGCCAGGCCTCATTCAACAACTATGTTTCTACTTCAAAAAGGAAAAGAGAAGAGGCTATGCTATCCATCTGGCTTTGCCCGTGATGATAATTTGCCATAATCTGCATTTCCAAAAGGAGGTCAAATCCACTGTGGTTCAGAATTATGAGAAGTCATCTTAGTCATAAATTTGAAACAATTTCCATGCCAGAAAGACCTAAAAGTGTTCACTGAACATTTACCCCAAGTTCTGAAGCTACTTTAACAATGGGAAACTTAATTAATACCTGCCCCCCCAAAACAAAAAATCTAGAAGAGAAAGATTGTGCATGAAGCTTAAATAACAGAAACATTAGGAGCACATGTCAACCAATGGAATACTGTATTAACTGGAAAACAGGACCTGGAACCCTTATAGGTGTGATCCAAGGACTAAGTGTGCAAAGAATTGGGCATCAAATGAGTTTAGGATCCTCCTCAATTGGACTTGGTTGAAGTCTAACAAGAAACCTTACTTTCAGACTTGCAAGATTGATGTCAGGTTTGCGGTGTAAAGCAGATAGGAATCACAACCAGATGAGCTAATTCTATTTTATTGTAAAGCTACATTGACAGAATCTTGCAAGTCTGAAAGTACAATTCTCCCCCTGCACCCCATCTCCTTTACAGCATAAGAAACTAGGGAGGGTCCCTTCTGAGCCTCTTACCCCATCCACTATCCAGCTGTGGGCTATGCTCTCCCTTATCTGACTGTTCCCTTGGCAGTCTCTCTTTGCCCAGTCTCCCAAGGTCTTTCCCACATACCATTACATTGACAGATTGTGGGGAGATGGGCGGGGACAAGTCAAATAAATAATATAATAATAATAATATACAAGTACCCTATTAATCAACAATTGTAATGGGTTAAAAACCTCTTCATGTGATTGGAAGGTGAGTTGTCTCTTGCAATGGAGTTATCTCTTGCAACTTGAGTGTCATCTCTCAAATTACCTGGTGATTCCTGATTTTTTGGCCAGACAGGGTAATCAGTTGGAAAAGGGGCTACCAGATTCCTGCTATTTTTCCCTCTTTAGGAAAGTCAGTGGACAGAATAATTTTCAGATGATGGATGTCAGAATAAATAAGGGCAGAATCTTTCTCAAGGCCTCTGTCTGCTAGTAGAAGTCCACCTAAAAGCCACATGCCAGCAGGAACCAAAACAAATTTTCCTGTGACCTGGAAAAACAGCTAGTACTTAAATCTCCAACCAAGGAGGAAAGAGCCAATGTCTCATTGTTCTTTGTCAGTTCATATACCTCCACCTAATTGGATGAGATTTATATTTAACAGACCACGCTGTGCAACAAGGCACTAGGGCAGATAAGCTCTGCTTTTCTTTCCTGACTTCACGCCATGGATAAATCAGGGAACCTCTTTTGAACCATTGCCACCTTTGTCCAAAATGCACTCGTTTCAAAGTGTTAATGGCTGACATAATGGGATGTACGGTAGTCTATCGTGTAATCACAGGAATATTCATGCATTGGCTCAGTTTATCACCTGAACCTTTTGTCAGCTTAATATCCACCAGGACATGCTCTTCTGTTCAGCTACCAGAAAAAAACTGCCTTCATTAAGGCCATCAGATCTTGATGACGACAGGAATGGCTGCTCAACCTGATTCTGCCTTTTCTTTGGAGGAAAGGAAGAATTCAGCCATGGGTTTGCAAGGACCAGATCAGCTGCACTAGACAGTACACCTGGAATGGAGGGTGAGTGGGCAGAGGTGGGAATTAAAAGCATTTTCTTATCATTTCCAGGACACACATCCTGTAGCCCTGCAACTGATGGCTCTTTATTTCTCTAGCTGCACAGACTGTTGATTACCATCCAAAATTTACCATTTTCACATGGAAGCAGAAGGCTTTTTTGTTTCGGTGGTTTCTCCCCAATAAAATGAAATGAAAAATAATCTGATAAACTTCCTCTGTAACCACCAAACATTCTACAAACACAGTACTTTTGGAAGAAATGTTAATTATTTACACTGGGAGGGAGGGGGTAAGGAAGGAAGAAGTTTCCCTTTGAAGAAACAAGCTTCCAGAAATGGAGTAGCTCCTTAGTTTTTCTGCTGGAGAGAAATGTTGAGAATAACAGTAAAACTTAACTCTGATTTCAATAATCTACACCACTCGGCTATCAAACTTGGGTAATATTCTGGACAGCAAGAATCCCAACTTTGATTTTCACGGCTTGGCAGATTAAAAATACAATTAAATTATGCTCGTAACGGATGTACAATACGTCTGCTTAAAATGTAAGATTTTTATAAAACATATTTATAAGGAGAGGGGCCATGAAAATTTAATTTAATGTTCACCTTAGGTAATTTGGTGTCTTATTGTTCAGAGCAATTACCATAAATCTACATATCAATAAGGAAGAACAGATGTCAGTTGTTACATCCACTTGCCAATCAGGCTTGTTAAAAATCGGCAGATGGATGGTGGTGGAATTCTCTCATATGGCCTATTAGCACATTTGCAGGAAACTGATGTAGTTCCCTTGCAGTCACACATGCGGTCCTGTTAAAACACAAATAAATTGGAGACCTGAGGTTTCCATATCACAACTCAGGGTGTGAAACTTGCAGGACAAACTTTTTCACATAGTAAGATGCCTGCCCTCTTTGAAACCCTTAATCTCACTTCCCCCTTTATGATTCAATGGGGGGACGGATCAGTCCCCGACTGAGGCAGGATTTTCTCAGGCTGCACTGATATTCCTGTGATGTGAGCTTGAAAAACAAAAAGAAATGAAAAATGCATTTCATTATTTTTAAAGGGAGGGGTACCAAACAGCGAATATTGCTTTAATTTTTCAAGGAGACCAGTTTCGATTTAAGTTTTCCCTTATTAGAGGCATTCACCAAAAAAAAAAA